TATTTTTTAATTAAGAGAGTATATATCATACTTTACTAAAGAATATGGTGATAAACATTTAAAAGAAAATGTGAGTGGTGATGCAGTTGATAGTAAACATTTCCACAAAGTGTAAGCATCAAAGTAGTCAACCTTTGACGCATTTACACTTTAAGGGCTGGAGTCTTCCATAATATATATATATATATATATATATATATAAAATTTTTACTTTCATTTTTAATTTAATATATTTATTTCAACTTAAGTTATTAACCTTTTTCTAGTAATTTATTTTTCATTTTTTTATAATTTACACTATATCCGCGCTTTAATTTCTTGACAGTCTTTTAATGTTTCCAAAAGATTCCCTATTTTGTTGGTAAAAAAAAAAATCCCTATTTTCTTTTAATATTTTAAGATACTCTTTGCTTGGACATCATAAAATGGACAATATGTATTACGAATATAGGAAGAAAAATTTCACTGAAAAATATGCCCTAATTAATACACAATCCTATTGCTTATAATAAAAATAGCCTTATGCAATAAATAAAAAAGGAGGAGGATTATATGATACTCCATCTCCTTTTTTTATAAGAAAGGAATGACTAATTTTAAAGATTAAGAAATGTAGTTAAAGTTATTAATGAATTAATAAATATGTTACAATATTCCAATATACCCCCATTTAATAATTGATAGGTGGTTGATCTAGTAAATAAAATAATCATTTTTAATGAAGATATAAAAGAAATTTTTAATTCATATTAATACTCTAATAAAAATGTTGTTTCTTATAATTAAAAGTTAGGGAAAATAACATCCAAGGACCATTGTATAATTTTATATCCCACAAGGACTAAATGATTTCATAATATCACTCAACCCTCTAGTCCTTCTAACATATGAATTTCACATATGAAAGGACCAAAATGCCACTCAATTAAAAAAATAAAGAAACCTCCACCGTTGCCGATGCCGACTGTTAGACCACCACAGCCATCAGATCTTTGCCAACAGTGACATTGCTAGAGCCCCTGCTTGGGGGCAGGTTGCCGGAGCTCTAGCGTCGATAGCATTTTATTTTAGAATTGAGGTTTTTAGGTGGTCAAAGGTGGGTTTGATCCCATGGCTTTTGGCTACCTAAAAAGTTTAGTGGCCACTAGATCACCAAGCCCTTCAATATATATATATATATATATGGCAAAAAAAATTATAAGTAGTAAATCAAGCATAAAACCACTTTTGCGTAATAATCTAATGTGTGTTGTTAATTTCTGAATAGAACTTATTATTTTAATAAATGTCACTTGTTAATCTAACATTGACAATTACAAATTAGGGGTTTCAAAACTTTACTCATTTTACTTATTAAACGTCTCATGTCTTATTGTCAATCACGAATAAATATTGTCAAAATTAAACGGATACTTGTCAACGAATGACTGAACCCTTCCTATCATTTTTTCTACATTGTTAAAACCATAATAGATTCTTGTTAATTTCAAGTGAATTGTTATTATTTTACGAATGCCACTTGTTAATTTGACATGGACAATTACAAATTGGGGCTTCAAAACTTTACTTATTTTACTTGTTAAACATTTCAATGTCTTGTTATCAATCACAAATAGGTTGTTGTCAAACTCAAATGGATACTTGTCTACGAATGACTAAACCCTTCCTATTATTTTTTCTAACTTATTAAAACCATAATAGATTCTTGTTAATTTCAAATAAATTGTTGTTATTTTACGAATGTTGCTTATTAATTTGACATGGACAATTAAAAATTGAAAGCTTCAAAACTTCACTCATTTTACTTGTTAAATATTCTAATGTCTTGTTATCAATCATGAATAAGCTATTGTCAAACTCAAACGGATATTTCTTAGCAAATGACTAAACTCTTCCTATTATTTTTTTAACTTGTTAAAAATCATAATAGATTCTTGTTAATTTCAAATGAATTGTTGTTATTTTACAATGTCTCTTGTTAATCTAACATTAACAATTACAAATTGAAGGCTTCAAACTTCACTCATTTTACTTATTAAACATTTTAATGTATTATTGTCAATCATGAACAGGTTGTTGTCAAACTCAAATTGATACTTGTCAGCAAATGACTAAACCCTTCCTATCATTTTTCTAACTTGTTAAAAACCATAATAGATTCTTGTTAATTTTAAATGAATTGTTATTTTATGAATGTCACTTGTTAATCTGACATAGACAATTATAAATTGAGGGTTTTAAAACTTCACTCATTTTACTTGTTAAAACGTCCCAATATTATTTGTCAATCAAGAATAGGTTGTTGTCAAAACCAAACAAATACTTATTAGAAAATTGATAGGAAGGGTCAATATGTATTAGTCATTCATTAACAAGTATCCGTTTGGTTTTGACAACAATCTATTTGTGATTGATAAAAGACATTAGGACGTTTAACAAGTAAAATGAGTGAAGTTTTGAAGTCCTCAATTTATAATTGTTCATATCTGATTAACAAGTAACATTTATAAAATAACAAGTTCCATTCACAAATTAACAATATATATTAGGTTATTACATGAAAGTGGTTTTTTTGTTTGGTTTATTACTTATAATTTTTTTGCCACATATATATTGAAGGCTACCAAGCTTTTTAGGCTACCTAAAAATCTCAGTTCTGAAATAAAATATTGCTGACATCAAAGCTCCAGCAATCGGCTACCTGCGACCCTACCGACAGTAGGGCTCCGGTGACCTCGCCATCGGCAGAGGTTCAACGGCCGATGGTGGTCCAACGGTCAACACCAACAACGGTGTGCCTATCTTTTTTTTTTTTTTAACTAAGGGATATTTTGATTTTTTTACATGTGAAATTTATATATCAGAAGGACCAAAGGGCTATAATAATATTATGAAATTATTTGGTCCTTATAAAATTATAATATTATACAGTAATTCTTAGATTTTATTTTTCCTAAAAGTTAAACCATTAAATTAAATAACAAATAATTTAAGGGGCACCATGGATAGCTATTTCTTGCACGCTACACTATACTACTGCCAACTTAACTTAAATATCAACCCTCTGCTTGGTATTCCAATGAATTATTAATGGGAGAGATTATTAGTTCTCGGGAAACAAACAGCCAAAAATTCATGAACTCCCAAAAACAAACCAAAAAGCTCACAGCCCAAGAAAGAATGAAAGAAAAGCTGTGTGCTCTGAAATCTGAAGATGTTAGTAAAGAAAGAAGAAGATACCTGAGCTCCAAAGAGGGAGATGCAAAGCAAACCCATCCAAGAATGCAGGCTATAGAAATTAGCCACAATGCCATCCTTGGCATGAAATTTAGTCCAGATTCCAAAGAAGCCACAAGTCAAAGCCACCCCTTGAAGCCACAGATGCAGACATTTCTTGAACCCTCTGGACCCAGGAAACCATCTGTGAACCAAGATTGCTGCATAAAGATGGAGTCACCCTTTCAATTAATGCTACATTGTTAGATGTCAGAGGCTGGGTTATTAGTTATTAGGAGCTACCTTCTCCGCTGATGAGAATGAAGCCGATTACCATGAGAAGAGGATGAAGAACCTGCAGGCAGAGAAAGCAGAGCAGTTTAGCTTTTGCTTTTCCAGAAAGAAGCAAAGTAGCAGACTTTTTTGGAGCGAGAAGGGAGAGGGGGGTGAGTACGTACTGAGTAGAGAAGAAGGTTGGGGTGAGAGAAGCTGGAGGTGAAGGCAGAGGCCCAGAAGAGAACAAGAAGTGCGACTGCAAACCCTAGAATTCGGGTGAAGAGAAGAGAGGGAAAGGCAGGAGCAGCCATGAGAAGAAGTGAGACTGTGAGTGTGGCCCCATTCAGAGAGCGTGTAATGTATGTCGTGAGTGCTTTGTTAAAATATCACCGACAAGTGAGTGTGAGCATTAGCATATCCATTGATGACATCGATGCGGCCCACGTCCGGTCAGTGCATTACACTAAAATGGAAAAAAAGTTGAGTTCTTTATCAAATTGCCCTCATGGAGTCATGGTCCCTCTACTGCAAAGGACTCGCTATGGCTATAATAATATGATACTTCCTTTTCTCTTTTTGGAAGTAAATCATCCGTTCTCCCGAAGTCAGCTGGATTGAGTCCGGTGCCGGTCAGATTCTTTTCGGACGGAAGCTCCACTGTGCGTTTTTTTTTTGAAGAAATGACACTTGAGGTCTCAAAATAAAAATTAATACCAATTAAATCCTTAATAATTTTTTTAAAAAAGTAAGTTAAAACTATCAATGCAAATTATTACAAATTCAGAAGTTTTAATTATAAATAAGTGTTTAAATATTAAATATAATTTTAAATTATAATACAAATTTTTGTTTGTAACTGTTTGAATTAATATTTATAATTTATTTGTAAAAAAATTTGTCAAGAACTTAATTGATATTAATTTATTATTTTGGGACCTTATTATCATTCTCCCAATTTTATTTGTCCATATGACAAAAGCTTGTAAAGATTTTTTTTTTAAATATATCATTATGTTTGTTCATATGATTATATACATGTTAGTTTGCATTCAAATTGATTGATTTAATTAACATTATTTAATATTCTGAAAAGTTTATATGAAGTACTTGATTATTATAAAAAGATGTTAGGATGTTGAATAATTAGAATCAAGATCATTTGAAATTAACATTATTCAATATTCTAAAAAGTTTATATAGTACTTGATTGTTATAGAAAGATTTTCAGATGTTGGATAATTAAAATCAATAGATCATTTGAAATATAATCCTAAGCACCATATATATATTTATATATATATAAATTCTTTTATATCATAATTTATAATATTGCATTGATTTACCATGAAGTTTTGTGTTGATATGAAAATTAATTGATTATGCATATGTGTTATATATGTCTAGTTTGATTCACACAAGATGACCTCTAAAAGATTATTTATTTGTGAAAATACATGTATATCATAATGATTTATTAGTAATTTTTATTGTTATTCCCATAAAAGATATGACAAATGGAAGATGCGTTCATATTCAGAAGATATGTATATAAAAAAATCTTTAAAATATTAATTATATGAAAGCAATGATTCATATATAGTCAAGTTATAAAAAAATATCAACTCACAAAAGCACCGTCAACAATAATATTCAAGAAATTGATACACAAGTTTAAAATACAATGACTTAAGACAATTCAAGAGAGTAAGGATTAAGGAGTCATATCATCATTAGGAGAAGTAAAAGTTATGGTGTACTACTTTTTTTTTTTTTGTTTAACCAAATATTGGCTTACTAGATTTTCTTGGTAAGGTTTTAATAAGGCAACTTCAATGAATATAACCTTATTGTAAACTCTTTTTCCCTTACTAAGTTTTTGTCCAATTAAATTTTTTTAATAAGATTTTAATGAGACACAATATCTATTTATAAACATCCAAAAGGGAGTATTATGAATATTAGGATAATTATGTAGATATCCATATCTTTTAGTTTCTCTAATATCTTTCAATTATTATTGTTTTGTATATTTATTTGATTTAATTGTTATACATGTACCTATAAATGGAGTGCATATCAATTGCATTCCATACACCAAAATAATTAGAAAGCTCTATGACAAAGAAAGCTCTTCTTCTACGTTTCTCTCTTCTGATCTCCTCTCAATCTTTATTTTTATAACAAATTTAAAATATTAATGTTCTAATATGATATTATTAACACAAATAAAATATTTTTAATTACTTATTGGTGTTGTTGTAGCGATATACTAGTCCAACAATCACCTTGTATTTGGTCAAAGTGACTTATTAAAATGATATTTTTGACTTTTAATTGAATATTTTTAATTACTTATTGGTGTCTCTTACTATTTATTTTGTAATTTAGATAAATTAATCAATATTAATTTTTAATAGGTATACTTATTTGTATTGTCTTTTTCTATAATTTTTTTAGATTATTTTCTATCATTTTTTGATCAATTAATTATCAAAATTAATTTTTTGTCAACAATAGGAGCAATATTACACTGTTTTTAATCGTTGAAGGAGAACATTTAAATAAAGTGTAAAAAGTATAAAGATAACCTAATGAGTTTTATTTTAAAATTTAAATTACTCCAAATAACAAACCTTGAATAAAATAATTTGTTCATTTTTAATTCTATATGTAAAATAATAATAAATTGAAGAATAAAATGTTAAGCTAAGTGACAAGAAATAAAATAAAATATTTTATTGTTTAAATTTAAATTTATTTGGGAATAACACATGTCATAAAATAATAAATTATTCTTTATAGTTTAAAATGCAATGTATAGAGTAACAAATTCCTAAGTTATTTGTTTAAAAATAAAACAATTTTGTTGTATATATTCTTAGTATAAATCAGCACGTTATTTGTGTTTTTACTATGCACAAGAATAAAAAAATTATAAAATAAAGCAAGCTGTTATTTATAAAATTAAAATTTATTTTGAAATAAAAATATAAAATAAAGCATGTTTAAATTCAGATTTATATGGGGATAGCAGTGTCTGGGATAACAAATTTTGTTATACATTTGACGTTAGCATTTTAGCATGGGTATAAATCATAAAATAATTTGTATGAGAGTTAAAGAAGTTATAATTCAACCTATGTAAATTTATAGGGTAATGAATCTTCTTCTTCTTCTTCTTCTTTTTTAAGAATAAGCTAGATTGTATTCAAGTTGCAAGAGGTGAGGAATTTTTAAAAAAATATTAATATTTGTTAATATCTTTTCTTTTGTAAAATATAATCCTTTATTACTGTCTGTTCTATAGCGAAAACAACAATCACATTTGTTTTTTGGAAAAACAAAAAAATCAATGACACTAACATGTCCTTGTGCATCGCACAGGTGCATACTCTAGTATATAGGGTAGCATAATGCAAAATAAAAACTTTTTCTTAAATTTTTAAAGAAAAGTGGGTGAGAAACCTACCTTTTAATTACATGAAGTGAATGTGATACTTGTAATTTAATTAATAAAATTTATTTATATAGGGAGAAAAAAATTTTCTACATAAATTTTCATTTGTAAATGTTAAAAATTTAGACAATGTGTAAAAAATGATAAGATTTTTATATTTTGAAAGTACATGTAGGATCAATAGTAAAAATTAGTGGTGTATATAATATTCTTAGTAAAAATAATATATAAATGTCAGATATGCAATAAAATTAAAAAAATTATTTAGACAAAGCATAAAAAGTTTGGAGGTTTGATGAATTTTATTTTGAAATTTAATTCAGTCAAAAAATTATAAATAAAATAATTGGTTACTTCTAGATTTTATATGTTATAAGATAATAAATTTTAGAATAAAATATAGAGATGAGTGTTTTAAAAATAATTTAAATAAAAATAAATATAAATTGTCTTGAGTAATCTTTCTCTTATTATATTAAATTCCTATTCGATTAATTTTTTTACATGGTGTTTGAAATATTATTTTAAAAACTTATATATTTAAAATTTCAAATTAATAAATAAATAATGTTGTATAACTATTAAATTTAAAATATGAATAAAAATTTAAAAGAATATATCATTTAAACGTTTTGGGAGCAACTTGAATAATTTTTAGATAACATTTATATTTAAAAAAAATTATTTTATTTCAACATATGTATTTTAACTATCAATTAATAATTGGGTGGATGAAAATAAAAACTTAAAAGTAGAATAAATATCTGTATTTTGTATCTATTAATTTTAAAAGAGGTTCATATATTGAAATTAGAAAAGAAAAGTATACTAATTAAGATAAAATAGAGAAAAGGGCAACATACTTCACTTTAAATTATAAGCATACTAAAATAATTTTTATTTTTATCTTTTACTCTATACTAAAACATTTCCATGCATTAGGCGGGATTAAAGCTAGTGTTATTAGAACTAAAATGTGGTATCTTTTGAACTAATAAAAAACTTCAATAAAGGAACATCTTTTACAAACCAACATTACTTTAATTTTTAATTAATCAATGATTATTAAAACTATAACTTTTTTGTGCAGAGTAAAACATATTTAAACATGTAGGGCTTTTATGAACTAAGATTAAATCCTCCGAAATTAAGGCCCAATATGAATTTTCATAAAGTTTTTTCTTTTTTTTCTTGATATTTTTTATTTTTTATAAAACATAAAATATTCTCTCCTTTCGTTAAAAAAATTCATGAAATTCACAAATTAATAACTTTAGAGTATCCATTTCCATGAACTAACAATACTTTTTCTTTCACTGGACAAATTTTGGTTTCAGATTACCCTGATTCCAAAGATGTTTGTACTTCTTCAAAGTTTATTGCAGTAATTATCATTGGAAAAGATGTTCCAACAAAGAGCCAGCCTGCTATATATTACGACAAATATAAACTTAAAGAGCAATTTATAGAATCCATTTGTCTCAGCTTCTTTGTGATCTCGACGGTTTCTTGTTTAGGTTCATGGGGCTTACTAGAAACTTAGGAAATTAACTCTATTGATTGGATACCCCAAATCTTGTCCTTCGTTACCTTACATTGCATTTGTCTCTTCGTAGATTCTTTTTTGACTGTTAGGAATTATGACTCCATGCGATATCCTTTAGGCTGGTTTTTGCCTCTGAACAAAACAATTGGCTTGTCAAATGCAAAGATGATGGTTTTAGTTTCAAAAACTTGTGGGTAGGATTTGAATTGATAAATTTCAACTTCAAAATTTAAAATTTTACATTTTAAATCTTGCAATTGAAATTCATATATTTAAAATTTTTTATTTAGGTAGTTTAAAAAAATTTAAATAAAGAAGAAAAATAAATTGAGATTCAAATTGAAAATAATGAGTACATTTTTATTTTTTAATCAACAAGATATGAGAAAAGATACGAAAATCATAGAGGTATTAATAATAAAAATTTGAAGAAAAGATGTTTGAAGTAATTAAAATATCAAATGATTAGGGTATACAAAGAATTTGAAAGTACAAATAAATTATAATTTAAAATGAAATTTATAAATTTTTGTATATCTAAATAAAGGATTTGGTTCAAAACTAATTTCTTACTAATCCAAACGCACCATTAAAAAATGATAGTTTGGTTCCAAAATATTGAATTAATAATAATTAGGTCCCTAACAAAATTTTCTAAAAAAATAAATTGTAAATATTAATTGAAATTGTTATAAACATAAATTCCTATTATAATTTAAGAATTATACTTGATACTTAAATACTTGTCATTGAAACTCTTGAATCTACAATTATCTTAATCAATATTTTTAACTTATTTTTTAAAAAAACTTGTTGAGAATTTAACTGCCATTAACTTAAGACTAAAGGATCTAACTATCATTTTACTAAACTTTTAGGCACATTCCACTTTATGACTCAAAGAAAGAGTAATTCGAACAAATCATATATTATTATAAATTTAAGAGAATGATTAAAAAAAACCTGACATATGCTAATAATAAAAGATACCTCAAAATGTGATAATTACTGTGCAGTTCTAATAAATCTGACTTGCATATTAATTTTTGGCAAAATAACAAATTTGCCTCTAATTTAAATTTTGAAAAGAATGACAACTTTTATTGGACAAATGATTAAAAATTAATAGAAAATTATAATTTTCAAGTATTTTTTGTTATTTTTTCATAAATAAAATGTAACATATGAAGAATAATGACTACTTAAATAATACAATTTGTAAAAATAATGATATATCTTATTAATTTCAATATGAGATATATTTATATGAAGGAAAAAGATCTATCAAGATCTATCAAAGAATAAAATAAAGATCTATTAAAAAAATAAAATAGTTATAACCATTTTAACTAAAATTATAAATAATATATATATATATATATATATAAAATAAAAAATCTAATATTGCCTAATGTTACCCCCCACAAGTTGAAGAATTTATGTATCACACATGCCTAGCTTGGATAGGAGATCATTGAAGGAACCAATGTTAAGTGACTTGGTGCAAATATCGCACAAATTTGATCATCAAGCTAGGAAATGTATTTTTCTTGGTTTTCACTTTGGCACCAAAGATTTTGCATATCTTGATTTCATTCTCATAATATTTTTATTAGTCGACATGTCATTTCTATGAAGCTAAATTTTTTTTTCTCTATCTTTTACTTCGTCTTTTTTTACTTACTTTCCTTTGCCACAATCTACACCTTCCCTTGATTATTTTAATCTTTTTATCATTCAATCTTCCTCCACTTTTACTATTTCTGTTACTCCAAATTATTCAGCTCCCATTTCTCCTACCTATTTCAAATCATTCTTTTGCTTATGTCCCTTCTTCATTGCTTTTACATCGCTATTCTCAATCCCATAATCCTCTTTGCTACTTGCATGATTATCATTGTTCACTCCTTGCCTCGGCATCATCTTCTTCCTTTAGTTCAAGTATCTGTTAAATGATTTTTAGTTTGAGATTTTAATTTCATCAAAATGACTCAAGTAAAGTGAGAGTAATCATAGACAACAATTAAAAAATAATGATGGCCATGAATAGAAGAGGTATTAAATGGACCCTAAATATCAACATATAAAAGTTTAAGAGGACAAGTAAGGTGAGAAACATTAATGGAAAATGATAATTTTTTTTTTTGTTTGGCAAAATGACAAACATCACAACTTTTATTTAAAGTAGGTTTACATGTAATTGAAGATGATTTTTGACCTAGAATACTAATAGCAATAGAGGAGGCATGTCCTAACCTATAAGATGACACAAATTAAAAGCAATTACAAATTTAGAATGTAAAGTAACAAGAGAAATTGAGGAAGGGGAGAACCTACTTGCATAATCTTGAAGAACATAGAGACCATTCTGAACCTCATATATATCAATCGTCTTCCAAAAGTCTAGGGCCTGAATGAAACAATGAGTGGCATCAAGGATTAAGAAATAGTAAAGGTAAAAACTAAGTTTAGAAACATAAATCAAATAATAGTTAATATGAAGAATAAATAAAACATTAGTAAGATAAAAATCAAAGGAAAAATAAATGGTTTCAGAATGATGAGTTTGAACAACAAATCATTAGGTAACTAAATAGAAATAATAAAAATAGAAACTAACTTGGAAAAACGATCAATACAAGAACATATATAATCAATTGTGCAATGATCCAGGCAGATGAAAGGCATTTAGAGAAAAGTATGTAAGATATACCTCGTGTTAAAGATGTATTGAGAAAAGGAGTAGAAGAAGAGGCGATCACAAGATTAACTTCTGCTGAAGGAGTTAATGAAGTAGTAGGTGAAGGATTTTGCATAAGAGTAAGAAGCTTATTGTATTAATCCTAAGTGAACAGCAGAAAAGCAAAAGAAGATGAAGAATAAGCATTTCTATTAGTAGGTATAAAAGCATCCACAGTAGTCGTAATGGTGGAAGGTAGTATGATGTATTGGAGTGCCATGAGGTTCCAAAAGCACCAAATAAAGCAGAGAGGAAAAATAATGAAAAAGAAATTTCACTGGTTCTAATACCATAATACAATTTGTAAAAATAATGGCTTATCTTATTAATTTCAATATGAGATATATTTATATAAAAGAAAAAGATCTCGATAAATCTATCAGATAATAAAATAAAGATCTATCAAAGAATAAAATAATAACAGAAAATAAAATAGTTATAACTACTCTAACTAAAATTATATAAAATAATATATATAATTAAAAATCTAGTATTGCTCTATCACTACTACAAAATAAGTTTACAGGAGCGCTTTTTTTTTACCTTAGGGAGTGCTTTTGAAGCGCTCCCGTATCAAGCGCTCCGAAATTTACAGGAACGCTTTTTTAAGCGCTCCTGTATGTAAGCGATACAGGAGCGCTTTTAGAAAAGCGCTCCCGTAATAGCGCGTCATGTGTGTAAGAGCATACCGGAGCGCTCTCTATAGGAGCGCTCCCGTATGTAACCTTACCGGAGCGCTCTTTAAAAGAGCGCTCCCGTAAGTTTCTTTACAGGAGCGCTCTTCAAATGAGCGCTCCCATATATTATATTTATTTTTTTTAAATTAAATTTTTTAAATTTCTCCTTTTAAATATCTTTAATAATGGCAAATCATAATATCAAAAACTAATTTAAAAATAATATCAACATAAAAATTTTATATACAAGAAAAAAATTTGAAACTGATACAACAATTTCAATTTTCCAACTAACCTAGTTTAATTTCTAACAAGCCTAACAAATGAAACTATTGTTATTTTTTTAATATTGAAATCTAACTTCCTATCACAAACAGCCAATAATATATTCTGACCATTCTTCGACTAAATCTTCTATTTGCTCCATAGTAAAATGCGAATATCTTGCTCCAATAAAATACTACACAAGATATGAAAGCAATATATAAGTAATTAATATTATATTAACTTAATTTCAAAGCTTTTGACTTACATTTTCAGGAATGATCAACTCTTGTTGTGTGATTACTTCTCTCATAAACTTCATAACATAGTATCCACACTCCCAACCTTGTAATTGTGTAGGTACCTATAAAACAATAAAAGATGTCATTTATATGGTAGAAATAAATTCTAACTTAATTTAAAATACTTCATTGATGAAGTTATATATATGATACAAGTATTTGCTGTCGAAAATCCGGCAGAGTCTCCCCTATAACTTGGAAGTTCCAGAATTTTTCAAAAATTCTACATCAATCCAGAACAACATATTCAGAATAACAAACATAAAATATCAATCAAACAATCATTTAGATATGTACCAACTTGTTTTATTAAGAAAATAATACAAACCTTTATTCTTTTCCAAGAATAAAACTCAACAGGATCAGGTCTTTCGGTGTTTGGAGGGAGACCTTCACCTCCTCGATAACGTGCTACAGCCCTATTATATAATGATTAAGCATACCAAGTAAAAATTAATTATTATAATAAACATATATAAAGAATATAGAACTAAAAACTTACTGATTAAATAATATCCTCATAGATTTGTAGTTCTTAAAGTCACTATCTCTTAATGAATCAAGATAATAAATCACAGGGACGAATGGATTGATACAAACAAGCACCCAATGTTGCCTGAAAAAATAAAATAGTTCATTAACTAAAATATCAACTAAAGTTAAAAATAAACAATAATAACAATTTACCCTGGATTGTGAGGAGCTAAAAATAACATGTTTCTTTTGCCTTTGACTTTGAATGCATCAGTAATCTTTTGAGAATGGTACTCAACACTGTAGGTACTAGTGTTGTGCGGGCTAATAAATGAAAATTTTGTTATCAATGAGCCCGGCACCACAAAAGTATGATATAAGTACCTAAAATGAAAAAAAATAGAATCATTCACAACTAAAATTAAATAAATACCACAATAAGTAATAAAATTGAGAAAGTACCTGATGTATAAACTAATTTGTGTTGTTTGTAGCCAATCCTTAGTCAGAATCTCGTTAATATTTTCAGCTGCTAATTTTTTGCTAATTATTTCACCATAAATCTCCTTTTCAAATTCTACTTCACGAATCTCATTTTTCAATGTTGTCCACATAATCATTTCAAGTGCATTTTGATGAGGATATTTCAACTGAGTAGATTCTATGCTGGTCTTCCTTGCCTTAGTCACAGAGGTAGATCCTTTCGATGGCTTTTCTTTCGCTTTGATTGGCTTTTTTACAACTTTAAATTTTGAGGACTACAAGATGTAAAATGGATTGGTAAGGCCGTAAGAAAACATGAATGATTTTAAAGAACCATCAATTATTATACCTGTAACTTAATGAGCTTTGAAGGCCAAGCCACATAAGTTCCAATGGCATCAAAAATCGTGAATATATCCTCATCTTCTATTTGCACTGGCAACTCAGCATCATTTTCTATTGGAATAGTTATAGTCACCTTTAAGTGATCAGCAAGCAATGGTCTGGAGTGTATAGTAACACTATTATCATTATACACAGATCCGATTGCCACAACAAGACAATGTGGTGATTCTAACCATAATTGACATTGAGACTCGCCCTAAAAATTAAAAATTAATATCTTAAAAAAATGTGAAACATAATTTGTGAATAAAGAGAAGATAATAGAAAGAAAAATTATAACCTTAGGAAAGTCTTCTTTAGTATGGAAGGAGCAACTATCTTTATCACTGGGGCTACCTTGTGGCATATTTATAACTCCAATCATTTGCTCAAATCTCTTTTCCATTTGAGCTTGAAATTTTGTTTCCATTCTCGCCTCCATTTCTGCCATCCTTGCATTAAAATCATCTTCAGTAAAAATTTTAGACCGACGTCTAAAGTAGGTGCCCTGAGAAATACCAAATCCAACTCCTCTAACACAACCAGAGACCTCTGGAGCTCCCAATGCCTTTCCAAGGACATCCACATGCTCCCCCACATCATCTTGTGATATTGATTGTGATAATGCTTCCTGTTGAACAAATTGTAAACTAATTATTAAGTAAATAATGTAAATAAAGTAATACACTAAAATATTAATACTCACACAATCCTCCCAGACTTTTCGAGTGCGTTCATCAGGTAATTTGCCTTCTTTATCTTCTCGAGCAGTCTTCCAAACAAGAGCTCGAGAAATTGGAGCATTATGTCCAACTTCTTCCCTCTATTTAAAGAAGATATTAAAATAATTAAAAAACATTTCCTTATATATATATATATATATATATAAGTAATATCAACAGACGATATTAATTGAAACTCACCAAACTATGTTCAATATCTGGATAGCTCTTTCTTCCTGCTCTATATTGAAAAGGAGTACTTGCGGCTCTAGAGCGATTGACCTGGCTGATCTGTTGAAATTCAGGCTGTTGGCGCATTTTAATAAATTCATCCCAATGCTCTTGCTGGATCTCTGGATACATTTTAGGAGGATGAGGATTGAATTCTTCATTTGCATCTTTTAGATGATATGTTGTGAGGGTAGCTCGAAACTTTCTATGAGCATATGCTGCTTTTCTCATGATATAATGCCTATGACTCTCATCCAGGTCAAAAGATATACATAAATCTTCCCATATATTATTTTTTGCTTCTTCAAGCTGTGGGTCATTTTTCTTTCTCCAGTCTGCAATGCAACAGGGAACATAATGACGAGCTAAGACCCCTATGTAACTGGCCAACTGAGGAGACTTAACCAATTGGCCCCTATCATTCCAATTTACTGGTAATTTACGACCAGCAGCTCGAGCCCATATTACTGCTTTCATAACAGTTTTACCCCGTTTAACCTCCTTGAATGCTTCTTCTTTAGTGGGTGGAGCATCACCACTGTTCTCAGGTGGGGTAGCCATATATCTGAAAGGAAAAATGTAAATTTTTAACAACAAAAAAAAATTTAACTAAAAATAAATTTTTAACAATTAAAAGAAAATTTAAATAAAGAACTTACAAGTGTTAAAATTTATTTTTTCTTTTTTTTGTTTTTTCTTTTGTGTGTTCTACATATCCCTCATCAATCCAAATCCCTTCCACGTGATCTTCTCTAATATAGAAGGCATTATCCCCAGTTGAAACATCAAATGTCCGTGATGTTCCCATGAAAGGGTCATCCTCAACATTGAAATCTTCATCCTCCTCATTACCCACTATTTTATTTGTTAAAAGAACAATCGACCAATTTTTATGCGCTGGATCTGACACATAAAACACTTGTCGAGCTTGTGATGCCAAAATGAATGGTTCATCTTTATGAGCCACCTTATTAAGATCTACTTGAATAAAACCTAACTCGTCAATTCGAAAGCCGTTTTTATTGTCAACCCACGTGCAACAAAAGACAGGTTCACGAAACTTGATATAATCCAATTCCCAAATATGCTCTATAATCCCAAAATATGACATCATTGCATAGATTGGATTCTTGTCTTTAAAACTAGAGACATGCATTGATTGAGCTTTAAGCGTTACACCACTATTCTGCATAGTGCTCCGAGCATCTTGACTTTTTGTATAAAATGTAAAGTCATTAATTACATAACCTGTATAAGAAAATACTTCAAATCCAGGACCCCTAGCCAAAAACCTCAACCTTTCTGATGGGTGAGACTCCTCAGAGATGCGAGATCTAAACCAATATATAAAGTGCCGGTTGTGATATGTTGCTAGCCATGTTTCATTTTTACCTTTATTCTGACTCTTAACTATTGCCTTGTGTTCGTTGATATATGGTTGAACTTCCTCAGTGTTGTGTAAAACATACAAGTGAACTTGCTCCCATTGTGTCTTGTCTATGCTAATGAGTTTCTTCCCAATGATTCCACCCTGTTCACCTGTGGTGTCTTTTGTGTACTTTGGCAACCCATGGCATCCACATTAGAGAGATATCCAGTACATAATTCAACTGCTTCTTCCATGATGTACCTCTCAACAATACACCCCTCAGGCCGACTTCGATTTTTTACATATCCTTTTAATACTTTCAAGTAACGCTCTACTGGGTACATCCATCTCAAATAAGCGGGGCCACACAACTTTATCTCTCTAACTAAGTGAAATGATAAATGAACCATGATGTCGAAGAACGAAGGCGGAAAATACATTTCCAGCTCGCTTAAAATCTTAGCTATTTCATGTTCTAGCTTTGGCAATTTTTCTGGGTCAATCACCTTGCTACAAATTGCCTTAAAGAAGAAACAAAATCTAGTAATCGTGGCTCGCACCTTCTTTGGCAAAATGGATCGTATACCAACCGGCAATAAATTTTCCATGATGACATGACAATCATGAGTCTTGAGACCTACTAGTTTGAGGTCTTTCATGGATACGAGGCTACTTACATTTGAAGAATATTCTTCTGGCACTTTAACTTCATGCAAGAATTCACAGAAAGCTAATTTTTCTTTTCTAGACAAGGTGTGAGCTGCTGGAGGTAAAAAAGTACGTTTTCCCTTCCTCTCTGGTGCCAACTCTTCTCTTAACCCCATGCTAATCAAATCCATCCTTGCATTAATTCCATCTTTACTCTTTCCTAAAATGTGGAGTAATGTGCCAACAAGACTATCGCAGACATTCTTTTCGATGTGCATTGCATCCAGGAAATGCCTAACATCTAGGGTCTTCCAGTATGGTAGCTCAAAGAATATGGATTTCTTTTTCCAACCATTCTTAACAATCTTGGTATGATTGGAAAATACCACAATGCCTTCGCTGGGCTACATCCATTTCTTTTGTACCGTGATGCATCACATTTTGGACACTTATCTAAGATTGAATACTCTTTCTGAAAGAGGACACAATCATTTGGACATGCATGTATCTTCTCATAGCTCATCCCAATAGAACAGAGCACTTTTTTAGCTTCGTAAGTATTAGGTGGAAGCTCGTTGTACTCAGGTAACATTTCATATAAGAGTTCAAGCAAATCCGTGAAACTCTTATCGCTCCATCCATTCGCTGCTTTTAGGTTGTATAGTTTCAAAATAACTGATAGTTTTGTGAATTTTTTACAACCGGGGTATAATGGTTTATCAGCATCACTCTTCAATCTCTCAAACATCTCAGGACAGTCTCTAAGATCCTCTTCAATCACATCATCATTTCATCAAGACGGTCAACATCATATATCCCACTATCACGATCAAATGTTGAGTAGCTCGCACTATCCCTCCAATCACTTGCATTATTCCTTCTCTCCCCATGCATGGTCCAACAAGTATAAGTTGGATCATCCCATTACATATTAAATGATCTTTCAATTCTATTGGCTTTACTCTTTTTTCATAGCAACATTTCAAACAAGGACATATGACTCCACGGGGGTCTTGATCACGACAAAATGCAAATTCAATGAATTCATCTACACCATCCCAATATTCTCTAGATAGTCAATTAGCCGACATCCACTTACGATCCATGTCACTAATATGATTACCAAAATTCAATAAACAAAAGATTTAAATTTCTATAAAAAAATTCAACAGTATCTTCCTTAAAAGAATAATCTCTCAAATGATCAAACAATCAAATTTCACAACACAATATATCTAAACTAAATAAATCAATTCATCCAAATAAAAATTTAGTACCATAATGTATCTAAATTCTGCCAATCAATTGTAATTTAATTAATAACAATAATCTCTCATAAAAGTATATTTCATAAATAAAATAAAAATGTTCAAGTAGTTTCCTCAAATTTAATCTAAATTATCAACTACAAATACTCCATAATTTTAATATAAATAACTTCAATTCATATATTTCTATAATATTTATTATTAAAAAAATATTTAAAATTTATTCTCAAATATATATAAATTAATTATTAAAAAAATACCTTCAAAGTGTAGTCTTCACTGCAGAAGCGACGTCGATTCCTCTGCTGTACAGCAGCGACGCACAGCGGCAACGGAGGTCTTCACGGCGTCCCTTCCTCCGGTGTACAGCAGCAGCACAGATCTGCAATAGCAATACAGATCTGAAACAGAGATGCAAATCTGGAACAGCAAACAGCAGACAGCAAACAGCAA